TTATCTTGCCTGATACTTGAATATTTCATCAATCACGCAGGTAAATTACATATCCAGCTTTTCCATTTTTTTTTTCTGTGTCTATCCGCTAATGGATTTAGTTTTCTTAATTGTTAGTGATAATTTTAATTTATGCATTTTTAGGTTAGATGATGAGTTGGTTTTTGAAAGAAAGCAAACGGCAGAAAGAGAAAAGATTTCTGTTGAATGGTAAAACTTTATTGAAAGAGTTGATTGCGTCTTCTAATGGTAAGTATAATCCATATCGTAGCTTCACTGATAAAGAGATCAAGATAGCAACAAAAAACTATGATCAACAGAATATTATAACAAAGGAGGTCATATATTCATTGTACAAAGGTTTTCTACAAGATCGACCCGTTTCTGTTATGAAGTTTTCACCTGATTTCTATGATCAAGCCGCATTTGGTATTAATAGCATTGTATTTGCATCGCAAATGAGTCACAAAAATATTTTGAAGTTGATTGGATGTTGTTTAGAGTCTGAAGTTCACATTCTAGTTTTTGAATCTGTGGAGAATGGGACTCTTGCTGATCGTATTTTTCGTTCATATGAACCGCATTTCGAGCCTTTGTTATTGGCACATAGGTTAAAGATTGCTATGGAGTTAGCTAATGCAATTGCATATCTCCATTTCAAGTTCCCTCGACCCATTGTTTTTAGAATGGTCTGTCCATCTACCATTGTATTCAATGAAAAATATGTTGCCAAATTGTGTGATTTTTCAAACTCCATATCCATGCCAGAAGGTGAAACTCACATAGTGGAATCAAAAGATAGGATTATAGGAATAGGGGGATTTTTTGCACCTGAGCGTTTTACAACACCGAGATTTAATGAAAAGGTGGATGTCTATAGCTTTGGTGTATTGCTACTTGTGCTTTTGACTGGTCTCAAAACACATGAGCCTCCCAGTTGGATTACTGAAACTCGTCTTAATTGGAATTTGGAGCATGCTGTGAAAAAATGCATGGAGCAAGAGAGGTTTACTGAGATAGTTGATCCCATAGTTGTTGGTTCTGGACTATCTCCCGAAAAAGAAGAGCAATTGCAAGCATTTGCAGAGCTTGCCTTTAAATGTCTCTCTCATTCAGCCGTAGACAGGCCAACAATGATTGATGTAGCAAAACAACTTAGGCACATTTATAAATCTACTTGTCAATTAATGTCTTAATTTATGTACTTATTATTACAAAGATGTAAATTTTCATGCATTTATGAAGATTGAGAATGCCCTTGTAATAGACCTTTCATATATATATATTTTTGTTATGATAATTATATTGTCTCTATTTCTATAGAAGAAGTGTCAACTTTCCAAAGAAAGCCAAGCGTCTCTATAATTACAGAAGGACAAAATTATGATTTTTGACAAAACATAAGAGGCTTAACTTAGCATTCCAGTCTATTGTCAAGATACTGTGATTTTTCTTTTACCCACTATTTGAGGTGGGTTTGAATCGAAAGGACGCATTCTGAGATCCACTATTTGAGATGGGTAAGAGATAAATCTACAATATCTTTATAGTGCGTCGGGATGTTATATACTTAAAAGGCCGTCACATTTAGCTTATTGGTCAAGCAGACTTAACTCTGTATCTAGATAATTATACTGTCAAATCTAGATCAACTATTTGCCATTTTATAGTTAAGAAAGTATCCTACTTGCAAATTAATTATATGTTGTCAAATTTAGACCATCTATTTCTAGATAATTATATATAATGTCAAATCTAGACCATGTATTCACCACATGTGGCATAAAGTCTACAGACCAAAATTGGGCAGAATTAATGCTTCATTGTTGTAAGCTCCTGCCACAAAATCATTCACTGATAAATGTTTACATGCAGTGGAAATAAATACATTTTTAATTTGTTTTTATTATTTTTGTTGTCGCTTCTTATTAGCCAGAATCTTCTTATTCTTTTGACGGGACAGAGAGTAGGCTGTCATTCTGGTCCTGAAACTGAAGATGAAAATTTATCTTTTTTGGCTCTTGTGAAGAAATACTTTGGAAACAATAGGCTTGACGAGATAGTAGATCCCATAATTGTTGGAGATGGACTATGTCTTGAAGAAAAGCAAAAAATCCAAGCTTTTACAGAGCTTGCCCTCAAATGTGCCTCTGAATCCGCTGAAGATAGGCCAACAAGGATTGATGTGGCAAAACAACTCAGACAAATGTATCGCTCTGGCATGTAAATTTATTTATGAAGGGTTAATTGGATCTTCCATGTCTAAAAGAATTTCTGAACTTGGTGTAATTTTATTAAGAGCAGCAACCATCTTATTGTGTATGGATTTTCTGAACTTTATGTATCTTCATATATAATGCAGTTGATTTTATTAATGAACGAAATATTTGTACTTGCTTAAGAAATAAAATAAAGTAAAATACTTTCAAAATAAGGTTTACTTCACTGCAGAGCTATTGAGAACTGAGGATACTGTTTTTGTTTTCAGATTTTCATTCTTGATTAGGGTTTCAACACAAATGCAGTATATAATTTTTGGTGTTGTTCTTTCTGTTTTCATGAGTATTAGTGAATCTTAGCCTTTACATATATTGTTTCTTTTATCTGTTTTTGATTTCGTTTTTGTGGCTTGGATGCATATACTAGGATTTGATGATTGAATTTTAGCTATCTTCATGTTTTTCTGCTTCAAAAATGATCTTTGATTAGGTTGAAACTCTGAGAAGAAGAAGAGAAAAAAGCAGCATCTAGCAAAAAGAGAAGCAAAGATGGGGAGATCGTGCTTTCCAAAATGTAGATTGGGAAGAATAATGGGTTGGCTTCAGATTGTGCTTGGAGGTCTTGTTATAATTGTAAGCCTATCGAGTTTCTTCAAGTTCTACTTAGCTGGATTTTTCATGCACAATGAAGATATATGCTGCCATTTTTATGGTACCAGAGAGGTATATGATGTGTTTGATATTGGGGCACTGAATGATAAGAGTTGGGGAAGTACTAAATCGGATGGAAAGCCTGCAAGAAAAGCTTGAGAAAACTGTGCAACAATGGAGAAGGAGAAAGTGATTAGGCCTCTTTATGCTGATCATATTTCTCTTAGACAGATTTGGCTACCTAAAGATAGAGACGCCGGTAGGCCGTGCCGTGCTTAAAAATTTAAGGCCTGTCATGCCGTGCCAAGGCCCACAAAAATTCGTGTCTTGTCGTACCGTGTTGGTCTACCAAATCTGGAGGCCCATGGCATGGCCTGCTATATATCGTGTCGTGCCATGGGTTGGCCTGCGTGCTTTGTAAATTTTTTTAATAATCTATAAATTATGATAATTTTGATTTATTATATATAATTATTATAAAAATATTTTATATGTTATATTTAGTGACATTTTGTATTTGTATTAATTAAAAAAACATACAATTATTATGAAATATAATAAAATAATGAGACATTGAAATATTAATTGAATTTCAACACTTTTTACTATTTTATAAATTACAAATACAAACTTAGAAATTAAAATTAAAAATTATCATACATCTTCATTTTCATTAATTTAAAAAATATAATGATTTTTATTTTTTATTTTTTTATTTTTTTTCGTGCCATGTCGTGCCGGCTCATGTGCCTTTTTTAAGGTCCATGGCACAGCCTGCATGATTATGGGTCGTGCCGTGCCATGATTTTTTTGTATCGTGCCTTGTGTCATTGGCTGACACGGCCCACCGCCGGCTCTAGCTAAGGCTGAAGGGAAAATAAGATTAAAAAACAAAAATATTTTTTAAGATCACCAAAACTAAAACTTAAAAAAAAAAAAAAAAAAAGTCATCAAAATGTAATAGGATTACAGTAATAGGAGGAACAAGGGGCCTGTAAGCTGACACACACAACTGTAAAATAAATACTATCATTAACTAAGGATTTTGTACATCTTTTTTTTATAATTATAATTAAAAATACTTTGAAGATTTATCTTAAATTTTGTATTTCAAATTTCATATCTAATTAGAGATGTAATCAAAAATTTAATAAACGATAAAATTATGATTGTTTTTTTAGAGAGAATGAAAATTCCCACCTAGGTTTAGTGTAATTACGTTTCCCACTCAAAAACTTTGAAAAAATAATTTCTCACTCATCGTTAAGATCCGTTTATTAGCTTTAACTGAACAAGAACAAAATGGTAAATTCCAAAAAAATTCAATGATTTAAAAATTTATCTCTCGTCCTCATCTTCAATATCCCAACTCAAAGTCTTCCTCTTCCTAATATGGAGGTAAAAAGGAGCATAATGCAATCAATTAATCAATTCTAAGAATTTGGGAACTTTAAGATTTAAATGGCTCGTCCTCATCGTCAATATCCCAATTCAAGTCTTTCTCTTCTTCAACAACACTCAGCCGCTTCCACAAGTCAGCCTTATTTGGGCTCCCAACATGAGTCACTTTCTTCTCATCAATGTTGCTAAGATCCTCAATCTCATCCCAACCGAGCACCACCATTTTGTTCAAACAAGCTCTCAATTTTATCAGTAGACATGAATCGGTCACCAACAGCAACAAGATTCTCTTTCTTGTTGAAGGAGATATTATATTTCCTAACTAATACAAGGGTTCTCTGGACCCATTGTTTTCAGATGGCTCGGACTATCTAATATTTGTATCTCATGAACAGTATGTTGTCAAATTGATTTTGAAGTCTCCATGTCTACTCCAGAAGGTGAAACTGACATAACAGATGAAGTGAGAGGAACATACGGATTTGTTGCATCTACAGTATGTTATGACAAGTAAATTCAATGAAAAGTTGGATGTTTATCCACATTGCCTCCTTTCTTGACTTCTTGCATTTTTGCCGTCTGGCAATTCCTAGGTCGGTAGTGTGGCCTTGGTGGGTAATGTGGATTATCCTTGGAGTGTTAAATCAAACGTTGACAGCGGATTTTTTATTGAGACATTAATAAACTATTTTGTATTTTGTATTGTTGGGTCAACTTTTCTCGTCAATAAATGAACTGATGAATCTAAATTAAACAAATTGATCAGGATATAGTTGAGGAAGAAGATCAGAAGACTCTCTCAAACTCAAGCCTTGCGGGCGTTGTTCTTTATCTTGCCTGATACTTTGAATATTTCATCGATCACGCAGGTACAAATCCAGCTTTTAAATTTTTCAAATGGATTTACTTTTCTTTATTGTTAATGATAATTTTAATTTATGCATTTTTAGGTTAGATGATGAGTTCGTTTTTGAAAGGAAGCAAAAGGCAGCAACAGGAAAGATTTCTCTTGAATGGTAAGATTTTATTAAAAGAGTTGATTGCGTCTTCTAATGGTAAATATAATCCAATTCATAGCTTCACTGATAAAGAGATCAAGATAGCAACAAACAACTATGATCAACAGAATATTATAACAAAGGAGGTCATATATTCATTGTACAAAGGTTTTCTACAAGATCGACCCGTTTCTGTTATGAAGTTTTCAGCTGATTTCTATGATCAAGCCGCATTTGGTATTAATAGCATTGTATTTGCATCGCAAATGGGTCACAAAAATATTTTGAAGTTGATTGGATGTTGTTTAGAGTCTGAAGTTCACATTCTAGTTTTTGAATCTGTGGAGTATGGGACTCTTGCTAATCATATTTATCGCTCATGTGAACCATACTTTGAGCCTTTGTTATTGACACATAGGTTAAAGATTGCTATGGAGTTAGCTAATGCAATTGCATATCTCCATTTCAAGTTCCCTCGACCCATTGTTTTTAGAATGGTCTCTCCAGCTACTATTGTATTCAATGAAAAATATGTTGCCAAATTGTGTGATTTTTCAAACTCCATATCCATGCCAGAAGGTGAAACTCACATAGAGGAATCAAAAGATAGGATTATAGGAATAGGGGGATTTTTTGCACCTGAGCGTTTTACAACAGCGAGATTTAATGAAAAGGTGGATGTCTATAGCTTTGGTGTATTGCTACTTATTCTTTTGACAGGACAGAGAGTAGACTGTCATTCTGGTCCTGAAACTGAAGACGAAGATTTATCTTTCCTGGATCTTGTGAAGAAATACTTTGGAAACAATAGGCTTGATGAGATAGTAGATCCCATAATTGTTGGAGATGGACAATGTCTTGAAGAAAAAGAAAAACTCCAAGCTTTTACAGAGCTTGCCCTCAAATGTGTCTCTGAATCCGCTGAAGATAGGCCAACAATGATTGATGTGGCAAAACAACTCAGACAAATGTATCGCTCTGGCACGTAAATTTATTTATGAAGGGTTAACTGCACCTTCTATGGCTAAAACCATTTCTGGCACGTAAATATATTTATTGTTTATGGATTATCTGTAGTGCAATGTGTTGCTGCAATTTTTGAACTGTATGATGCATTTAATTTTACAATTAAAAACTGGAATATTTGTACTGTTTCAAGAAATAAAATAAAGTAAAATACTTTCAAAATAAGGTTTGCTTCACTGTAGAGCTATTGAGAATAGAGGACACTGTTTTTGTTTTCAGATTTTCATTCTTGATTAGGGTTTCAACACAAATGCAATGTATAATTTTTGGTGTTGTTCTTTCTTTTTTCATGAATATTAGTGAATCTTAGCCTTTACATATATTGTTTCTTTTATCTGTTTTTGTTTTCATTTTTTGTGGTTTAGATGCATACTCGGGTGTGTTTGTTTCAATATTTCTACCCATATTCCAATCATATTCCCCGATATTGTTTGGCACATTATTTGAGAAATATATATATTTTTTAATTATTTTTAGGCCCCTTAAGTTGATTAATTTCATTAAATACCCCCAAAAGTTTAAAAATTAGCAAAAAAACTCCCATCCACCCATACTTGCCAGATTCTGACAACCACGGTGGTAGCCAGAATTGTCACACGCTTACACCACACGGAACTGGCCGGTAATTCACCAATTTGGCCGTCACGATGACTATATCTTTGGTCATCGCTTACGGCCAAAGATGGACTTTTGCAGCCGTCGACGACCACATTTGGCCGTCAACGACCACATGTGGCTGTAATTTGGCCTTTTCTGGCCAGATCCACCAAGCTGTAGATCTGCCAGAAAAGGCTAGATCTACGGCTAGTGGCTGGAAAAGGCCATATCGACACGTTACGACACAAATTCGATCGGTCTATGTCGTAACGTAATTATTCAGCAGATTTCAGCGATGGTGGCGGAATCTGGCATTGCTGGTGTGGGGGTGTTTTTTTCATTACAAACTTTTATTATTGGGGTGTTTAATTAAATTAGCAAACCTAGGGGTTTTTTTTTGAAATTTTGAAATTTTACCTCGTAATCTCCCCTATTTAACTACCCAATATTATTTCCAAATCCTATCAAATAATAAACCAAACGCCCCCTACTATCTTCGTGTTTTTATGCTTCAAAATTGATCTTTGATTAGGTTGAAACTCTGAGAGAGGAAGAGAAAAAAGCACATCTAGCAAATAGAGAAGCAAAGATGGGGAGATTGTGCTTTCCAAAATGTAGATTGGGAAGAATAATGGGTTGCTTCAGATTGTGCTTGGAGGTCTTGTTATAATTGTAAGCCTATCAAGTAGGAGTGGGATAATCCGTTAACCGAAAACCGAACTGTTTATTCAGTTTTGGCAAAAATTTAAACCGAAACCAGACCGTTTTTATGGTATAAATCGAATTCAAACCAAACTGAATATTCGGTTCAGTTATCCGGTTAACCGGTTTTCAAACCGATTTCTATTTCAACCCTAAATTCTACTTTTTTTTACATTTTAGTCATCAAATTAGACATTATTACATACTAGAAACAAAGCTTCTCAAGATCTAAAAAATGATTTTGAAGGCCAAAGTGCAATGCAAATTCAGTAAAACCAACTTTTAAATCAACTTAGAGCAAACAGAAACCAATGAGAGATAAATACATGACCAACTATAGCAATCATCACTGAACTTTACTAAAGCCAACTACATACATGAACCCACTCCAGTTTCAATTTGAAGAAAACGAAGACAGATGTTTGATAAGTGACTTTTATCCACAGATTGGCACAACCATAATGACTATTTGTATAAAAATGAAAAGGAAGAATTGAAGAACTAAGCGCATTTTCAGCTGCAAACCTTGAGAACCAACCACTAGGACCACATTTTCAACTTACCTTGTTCAATCGGTAGTGGATTACTAGATGTTCGTAGAGTGGAGCTGGTCTTGTTGGTCGTGGTGGTCACTAGGTTCTGTCAACGGGTTCATTGATGGGTTGGGTGAATGGGTGTGGGTGGCGTTGCCATGGAGACTCTAGATCTGGAGTTATTATTACTATTTTTTTTTTTTTTCTAAACTCCTTTTCATTACATACCAGGGTTTTCCAACTTAAAACGGTTTTAAAACGATTTTCGGTTAACCAATTTGGGAAACCCTTAAACGAAAACCAAACCGGTTTTCGTTTTCCAATTTTCACAAACCAAACGAACAGTTTGCAAAAAAAAAAAAAAAAAAAAAAGGATTTTCGGTCCAGTTTCAATTCGATTTTCGGATAATTTCTCCCATCCTCCACTACCGAGTCTCTTCAAGTTTTTTTTTTCTTTCTGGTAACTGAGGTATCCAGCCAATTTGCGCACACATCTTTTTTATAGTTATATTAAAAATGTTATGAAAATTTATCTTAAATTATGTATTTGAAATTTCCAATGACAATTCTCACCCAAGTTTGGTGTACTTAGTTTTCCACTCCAAAAAACTTTGAAAAAATAATTTTTACCCATCGTTAAGATCTGTTGTTAACTTTATGAACAAGACAAGGTGAAAAATTCACTAGAAAACAAAAAATCAATTATTTAAAAATTTATCTCTCGTCCTCATCTTCAATATCCCAACTCAAGTCTTCCTCTTCTTAATAGGAGGTAAAAGGAGCAAGTGCAATCAATTAATCAATTCTAAGAATTTATGAACTTAAGATTCAAGGTGTATCAAGCTTTAAATGCTCTCCTCTCTTCAATATCCCAATTCAAGTCTTCCTTTTCTCCTACAACACTCGCCACTTCCACAAGTGATCGGCCTTATTTGGCTCCTAATATAGTCACTTCTTCTCTCAATGTTGCTAAGATCCTCAATCTCATCCCAACCGAGCACCACCATTTTGTTCAAACAAGCTCTCAATTTCCTCATTCATCGTATCCAAACAAACCTAGATTTCCACTTATTATAATCATCTAAATCATCAACTTCCTCATAATACGTTTTTATATCTCTTCGAATCGCACGAACCTGACATCAAAACAACTATAGGTTTGCGTTGCTCACTATTATTATTTTGATTAGTATTATTATCAGATGAATCGGATTCGTGATCAACCACTAGTAATAACATCGTTCCGTGAGAGATGAATATGACCTTCCCTTTCAAACCGTGTTTCCAAACTCATCAATGACGGTACCGCCTGTCCAAATGGATCCTTGGGCCACCTCAGGTTCCTTTCTTAGACTTGTCCAAACTCCTGCAAATCGTGACGGTAGGTTTCAATGATCGATTCCGATTTAACGGTTATGGTTTTGATTAAACCACCAAAACTCCAGCCATTACTAGGTTAGGGTTGTGGAGGAATGTTAGATTTGGGTTTTGTTCATCTGGTAGTAATTTGTTGTTGAAGGATTTGAAGTCGGGTATTGGTTAGGATCGGTATCATCAAACAATGGATTTGAAGAATTCATGATGGAGTAAGGTTTAGGTATGGATTTGGATATGGAGAAGCAAAAAGAATTTTATCCTTGGGAAGCTCACTACACGGATCTAGAGAGAATTCTATTGTTGATTTTTCAGCTTCCATTAATTTACCATCTTGCCCTTCTTCAGTGAAATTAACAGACAATCTTAACATCTTAACAATGGCCGAGAAATTGTTTTTCTCAAAGTTTTTGGTGGGAAAACGATAGAATGCCAAACCTTGGGTGGGAAATTGTTATTCTCTCTAATTAAATGGCCACATAAGACAATGCTATGCCTCCATATATACGGTGCGTTTTGGTCTCATGATGGAGATCAATAACGCAAGATGAGAATTTGAAAGTGAAAACCCTAAAAGCGTTGATCAAATGTGAGTTGCAATTCTACGAGGGCATTTGATAAAGATTCGCAATCAAATACTCAGTTCAAGCTGAATATTCGTGAGTACTTTCTTGCCTTCTTCTTTTTCTTTTCTTTTTTTTCATTTGTATTTGATTTGGCCATGTTTCGTTGTGGCTGCAAAAGACTGCAATTTCAACTAGTCCCAAATTGGAGAAATGCGTCAACCCGTCGACCCATTTGAGTTTCTTTTGCAGATACATCCCTTTTTTCTAAATCTTTCTCATCGGTTAAGTTGTGGCACTTGATAGAGAAAAACAACCAAAACACATTCATTCACAGTGTCTTATTTCATAAACTCATGTGGATTGTCCCCAGAAATTGCTGCTTCTTATCAAAGAAAGTAGCTTTTGAAACCCCAGAAAAGCCAGATTCTGTACTTGGCCTTCTCAGAAAATGGGTTTACCGATGCCCACATATCAAACTAGTTAAAAAAAACCAAATTGCTTGTAGCAGGTTGAGGAAACTCTTTTACCAAGCTTGAGTTTTTCCATTCTGTGGGGATTTCTGTACTGACCTTGCGAATGTACTGTCTCAAACCCTTATTTTTTGGAAGCTTAGAGAAACAAATATCCTAACTAAAATTTCCTCAAGAGTTTGTTTCCAACAATGAAAAAATTGTTAATGTTTGGGGAGATTATTTGCATGATTGCAAAAGAAGTTGTTCCCAATATCTCTGCCTGAAAGGAATTGAGTGCACAATCAGTATTTCAACTTTGGCGACTCAAATCTTTGTGTATTGTGTAGAAGTTCTGAGAAGTTAAGAAGGTGTCAAGAAGGTTATTGACAGGGATTCACTCCTTCAACCAGTGCATTTATCCAGGCACTCACAGTATAGGCCATGACGACAATTCCTGGGAACAAAATGAGGGTTTATAGAGTTGGGTTGTCTGAAAATGAGTTCTGGTTAGCTTTTAGAAGCTGTCCCAGATGTATGATCTGTCTGTGGAGAATATAAATACCAAAATGGACTTTTATGTAAACAAGATGGGTTGGCAACCTTCGGCGGTTGCTAGAACACCTCGGGCTTTAGGTTTTAGTTTGAGAAGAGAATCATCCCAAGATGCAGAGTTTTAAGGTTTTTGTGTTGACGGCCTGTTATGAAAAATTTCAGTGTGTCTTATGTGGATCTGTCTGAAAAGCGCTTCACGAACAATTTTTTGTCCAAGTATCAGGAACAGGTTCCACAACTATTTGATATATAGAGGGAAAATTGATCTTTCAGAACTAGGCATTGGATTTGAGCAAAAAACCTGAGGCAAACCAACTGTAGCTTGTTATTTGTTGATTTTTTTATACATGTGTTTTTTCTTTTTATTGTTGCTTGTTAATGTGAGTGCCTTTGGCCCCGAACTTATTCAGTTCTGAATACTGCTTGGAGCTTCTTGTATCAGTTCTCATTGTTTAATTGGACAAACTGTGAACACACAAGAGGAAGTAATGATTAAATCATGTTATACAAATCTCTAATTGTTGTTTGTCCATGTCAATTCGAAAATAAACATTCCCCTTTTTTGTTTCTCTTGATGGATGTTGCTGTAAGCATTGAAATGACGTATGATCTTGTTTCTTAACCTTTTTAGTTTGTTTTTCAACAGAGTATAATGGAGTAGTACATTTTCTTGAAGTTATAAATTTGACTTTCATGGATTAAAGCCTTAGGTCTTGTTTTTTTCTTAATTTTAGATTAAACCAAAAAATTGTATGTTGAGTTGTTTGGTAGTATGACAGGATTCTGGGATTGGTGGGTTGAATAACCAAAGCCAAATGAATCTTAGTGGGACATTAATAAACTATTTTGTATTTTGTTAATTCAAGGAAAAGCATGAGCCTCCAAATTAGACTTCTCATTTGACAATTATCAAAGCAAAGGAAGCTTCCTGATCTTGGTGATGGAAATTTCAGATTCCTAGTGGGTCAACTTTTCTCGTCAACACATGAACTGATGAATCTAAATTAAATAAATTGATCAAATAGTTGAGGAAGAAGATCAGAAGACTCTCTCAAACTCAAGCCTTGCGGGCGTTGTTCTTTATTTTGCATGATACTTGAATATTTCATCAATCACACAAGTACATATCCAGCTTTTTAATTTTTTTTTTTTTCTGTCTATCCGCAAATGGATTTACTTTTCTTAATGGTTAATGATAATTTAATTTATGCATTTTTAGGGATGAGTTCATATTTGAAAGAAAGCAAAAGGCAGAAAAAGAAAACATTTCTGAGGAATGGAAAAATTTTACTGGAAAAGTTGATTGCGTCTTGTAATGGTAAATATAATCCAATTCTTAGCTTCACTGATAAAAAGATCAAGATGGCAACAAACAATTATGATCAACAGAATAATATAATATTAACCCTTGACTTTTCATTGTATAAAGGTTTTCTACAAGATCGCCTGGTTTCTGTTGCGAAGTTTTCACCTAATGTTCATATAACTAATGAAGGGTAAAATTCTGATTCCTTGCTATCACTACCAAATTTGAACAAAGCAGAAGAAACTTGAAGGCCACCACATTTGGCTTATTTATTAGCCTTGCTTAACTCCGTTGCTAGATAATTACATTGACATATCTAGATCATCTATTCATTCACCATGTTATGCTTAACTCTGTTTCTGCAAAGTACTTTTGCTGTACACACATCCTTGACAAGGCAACATGGTAGCTGACTTCTTAGCAAATTTGGGCTTGAATAGCAATTACTTTATATGGTGGGACTCTCCACTCAAAGGCATCCAAACCCTTTTGCATCAAGATAAATGATACATCCTCAGATGTCATTTACTAAACTAATTTTTCTGTTTCTATTAAATTATGTTTTTAGTGGTTTGCATCCCTTTATTTTTGTCAAATAATTCTTCTATGTTAATCTCGAGGGTAGAGCTCATTCCGGCCCTGTAAACTGTTGTTCTCTTTCTCTTTCTTTTTATAGATTTCCTGTTCCTTTCTTTTCTGTTGCTGCTTTGTAGCCACAATCTTGTTTCCACATGTACAGTTGCCTCCTTATTTGACTTGCATTTGTGCCACTTTAACCATTATTAAAGCAATAAAAACTTCATGCTCTAGATTATGGAAATTTCAATTCTCCAGTGGATCGACTTTTCTTGAGTCAATGAATCAAATTTTGATAATTCATTTAGTAGACAAAAGAATATCTGAAGATTCTGATACTTGAAATAAACATATAAAGAAGTTCTGGTTTTCTTCATTCTGCTTCAGGCCAACATTGCAGGGCTCTCTTTCTGAAGGTTATTGCTTCCCATCTTTTCATATATTTTAGAATAATGAGTTCATATTTGAGAAAAATCAAGTGCCAAGAAAAGACACATACAGAAACATGTTTTTCTAATGAATGGAAAGAATTACTGGAAAACTTTGTTACTCCGATTTGCAGCTTTTCTGCCGAACAACTCAAGAGAGCAACAAACAACTACAACAAAGAGAAAGTTATAGAATTTGATTCATTCAAGATATTGTACAAAGGATTTTTGAGGAACCGCCCAGTTTTTGTTATGCAGTTTTTAACACTTTTGATACAGGGTATGCATACCAATCTTCTCTTAACAATATTGTGTTTGCATCACAAATTAGTTCTCACAAAAAATGTTTTGAAGTTGATTGGATGTTGCTTAGGGACAAGAATTCCCATTCTAGTTTTTAAATATGTTGAGTATGGGAATCTTGAGCAGGTCAAGGCTTTACTATCGATGCAAAGGTTAAAGATTGCTATGAAGATAGCTAATTCAATTGCATGTCTCCATGTTGGACCTTCGATGTCAAAAAAAAATTCCGAACTTGGTCTAATTTTATTAGGAGCAGCAACCATCTTATTGTTTGTGGATTTTCTCTAGTGCATTGTGTTGGTGTAATTTCTGAAGCGTNTGAGAATAATCCGACATGGAAGCATCAGTTTCACTTGATAAAGAGTCCAAGATCTTCATTTGCATATTTCTGAGAGAAACAGCAAAAGCTAAAGCACCATCCATGGCATCTCGAGCACCCGCCAAGGCCTTCAAGAGCTCTTCATTCACCATATAATAAGAGCATATTTGATTAAGAATGCGATCGTGTCTTTCTTGAAACTTCACCATCATTTCTTCGGCTTGGTCCAATGCCTCAGTTACGAGCCTCAAATTCTCCTGGGAAATCTGGTGGCGGTGCCATCTCTTCAAGGATGGCAAACAAAGAAAGAAGGATGAAGAGAAGCCGATTATGGCGAAAATCAAGCGACCATAATCCATGTAGCTTGTGTTGATTGAAGAATGAAGAGCGTAAAAAGAAAGAATGACGTGAATATGGAGAGTTCAGAGATTCTTTGCTTCCATAAAGGGAAAGTTTTAGTCATAGAAAAATTACAACGAAATTGTCATTGGAACAAAAAGAATAAAATAAATAACAAAAGATGCGCATCCGGGGAATCGAACCCCGGTCAGTACCGTGGGAGGGTACTATGATACCACTACACCAGATGCGCATTTGTTTGCCTTTTGGAAAAGCTTCTTATAGTAAATTTTAAATTACATTATAATTTATTGCTCCCATTCAACAAAAATGTTTCTCTATATATATGTTCATCAATTTTGCTTGATCATATTTTGAAAATTCCTGAGCTCTTTCAAACTCAGGTCTTTCTTTTGCTTAAAAATTTAATTTCCACCGTCAGGATAGGCCTTCCACACGGGTACATCTTCACATTAGACAATGATCTTAGTTGACAACATTCGTCTTTCTATATAAAACATATAGAACATTCATTTGTATAAATTATTGTACTATAATTATGATTGTTGCTCCTCTCAACCAGAAAATAGGCCAAGTATGATGGATATGGCAAAGCAACTAAGATAAATGTACAAGTCTAGCTAGCAATCGTTCATGAATCTATACCTTTTATTATGTACCTTGCCTGTTAGCATTTCATGTCTTCATTGCCATGGCAGTAGTTGAAAAACCTTCGAATAAACAAATTGATATATTTTTGGGGCTAGTAGATTTTGTCTGTCCATGCCTTTGTAGAAGCATACTATTCTGTTGGCACTTGAAAGATCAACGGATGGTTGCTTTGTTGATTGGTAAGTACTTGAAATTGTTTAAACAAAAGAAAATTCCTAGTCTTGGTGATTGATTAAAATTTCCCAGTGGGCCAACTATTTTTATGACTTTGAATGCTTTGTGGATTATATAATAATATTACATAGAAAGACTTCCATTAATTCAAGAAGAGACAATAGAGTTTTTAGTTTTGTCGTTTCGGTTTAAGGAGGCAATTGTAAAGAATCCATCTGTAGATAACTTAGATGGTTAAGGTGAATTGGAAATAATGTAGATAAGAACACGGTCTTAGGTTCGATTCTCTATCTGAGTATCTACGATTTAAGTGAGGGTTTTGGTAGTGGGTTACTATGCTGGTCTCTATCGAAGATTAATCGAGGTATATGTAAGCTGATTCGAGCACCTTGGTTAAAAAAAAAAAAAAAAAATGAAAAGGTACTATATTAAAAAAGAAATTGAACATAAAGACAAAATTTAGTTTAATATACAGTGGATAAGCTCCATAATCTAAACATTAGCTGATCCTATACATTGAAAAATGTAATTCATCTGTGGTATTCTGGCAATAAATTCCTATACAATCTCAACATTCCCTTTTAAACAAAGAAAAATTGCCTCGTCTTACATGATAGAAATTTCCCAGTACTATATCAACTTGTTTCATTTGAATAATCAATTCATTCAAGAAACAAGCTTCTGGTTGGTAGAGAGTCCCTTTCGAGGCTTCTTCTTGCTTGTTCTCAGAAAGTTGTGTTCATTTCTTTTATCAGTAGACATGAATCGGTCACCAACCGCAACAAGATTCTCTTTCTTGGTGAAGAAGATATTACATTTCCTAACTAATATAATGCTCCAATGGCCAACTATACGAATGCAAAAAATCGTTTCCGAGTTTTCCTACTTGTGTATATATTGTCACTTTCTCACAGACACTGTACTTTGGTTAAGAACAGGATTTGTCTTTCAGGTCCTGCCTCTGAGGGATTTCATGATCAAGTCAAGGAACCTGGGGGCTGGGAAAAGAGATTTGAGATGATTAATTTGTTGTCTTGGTTCGAGATATGAAAATGGAAAGATGTTAAGCTATAAAAGAACGACCTACTGATGCACAGGAGCTAGGCTCGAAAGTTGGAGGGCTTCTTGTGTGATCATATCTCTAACCAATTCAACCAAGTAAAAATTATCTGAAATCTCTTGAACCCTCTCTCTTACTTGACTTGCTCATGAAATCCCTCTGAGACGAATATATATTTATATACTGTGACATATATCCACATGCTTGGTATTTGTAGAGAATGTTCTTGGTTGATGAGATTTGTATCTAAACTATAATTTACTCAAAAGAAAAGGAGTTCTTGTTTTATTTTTTTATGTTATACATGAGCTATAACAAGATCAGTAGGCGGATCACTTACTTTCTGTGACTGACTTGTTTCAAGTGAAATTCAATTTTGTCCCCATTTACATTTTTTTTTTTTGCTTCACTGCTAAAGAGATCGAGATGACAACAAACAACTATGATCAACAGAAAATTATAGTAGAAGAATCTGGCTATTCATTGTATAAATATTTTTTGCAGGATTGACCATTTTCTGTTTTGAAGTTTCGGTCTAGTTCCTTTTATCCACACCAATGTGGTTTTAGTAGCATTGTATTTGCATCTCAAATGAGTCACAAAGTTATTTTGAAGTTGATTGGATGCTGTTTAGAAACTTATTTTCTTGTTCTAGTATTTGAATGTGTGGAGTATATGCTAATCAAATATTTATGGTTCACGCCAACCACATTTCTAGCCTTTCTTATTGACATATAGGTTAAAGATTGCAATGGAGATAGCTAAGGCAATTGCATATCTCCATCTCGGGTTCACCCGACCCATGTTTGATTTTGAACTCTCCATGTCTATCCCAGAAGGTAAAACTATCTAATATCGTATTCCATGAACAATATGCTACCAAATTGTTTGATTTTGAACTCTCCATGACTATCCCAGAAGGTAAAACTTACATACCTGATGAAGTGACAGGAACATACAGATTTGTTACACCTGAGTATGTTATGACAAGTAAATTCAATGGAAAGTTGGATGGTTATCCACAGTTGCCTCGTTTATTTGTCAATTCCTAGGTTGGTAGTGTGGCCTTAGTGGGTAATGTGTCACCGTCTTGATGTATTAAATTGCAGTATATTCCTTCGAGTGTTAAATCAAACGTTGACAACACTTTTTTTTTTTTTTTAATGAACTATTTTGTACTTTGTATTAGTGGGTCAACTTTTCTCGTCAATAAATGAACTGATGAATCTGAATAGACAGATTGATCAAATAGCTGGGGAAGAAGATCAGAAGATCCTCTCTCAAACTCAAGCCTTGCAGGCGTTGTTCTTTATCTTGCATGACACTTGCATATTTCACCAACCACGCAGGTACATATCCAGCTTTGAAATTTTTCTCTTTCTCTTCCGCAAATGGATTTACATTTCATTTATGCATTTTTAGGTTAGATGATGAGTTCGTTTTTGAAAGGAAGCAAACGGCAGAAACAGGAAAGATTTCTGTTGAATGGTAAAATTTTATTGAAAGAGTTGATTGCGTCTTCTAATGATAAATATAATGCAATTCGCAGCTTCATAGATAAAGAGGTCAAGATAGCACAAACAACTATGATCAACAGAATATTATAAGAAGGGAGGTCCCATATTCATTGTACAAAGTTTTTCTACAAGATCGACTGGTTTCTGTTTTGAAGTTTTCAACTAATTTCTATGATGAAGCCACATGTGGTGTTAATAGCACAAAAATATTTTGAAGTTGATTGGATGTTGTTTATAGTCTCAACTTCCCATTCTAGTTTTTGAATATGTAGAGTAAGAGACTTTTGCTGATCGTATTTATCGTTCATGTGAACCACATTTCAAGCCTTTGTTATTGACACATAGGTTAAAGATTGCTATGAAGATAGCTAATGCTATTGCATATCTCTATTCCGGGTTCCCTCAACCCATTATTTTTAGATCAATCAATCCATTGACTATTGTGTTCACTGAACAATATGTTGCCAAATTGTTTGATTTTTCATACTCCATGTCCATCCCAGAAGGTGAAACTCACGTAGAGGAAATGACAACTTATATTATAGGACCATCGGGATCTTTTGTACGGACTATTTTAGTTCACCGAGATTCAATGAAAAGCTAGACGTGTATAGCTTTTGGTGCATTGCTACTTGAGCTTTTGACAGGACGTAGAATGATTGATACTTTGGAAGTTGAATCTTCTTTGGAGGATCATGTGAAGAATTGCATTGAGCAGAGCAGGTTTACTGAGATGGTGCATCCCATAATTGTCGGTACCGAACTATCTCCAGAAAAAGAATAGCTATTGCTTGCTTTTACAGAGCTTGCCTTAAGTTGTCTTTCTCTTTCGGAAGAAGATAGGCCAACAATGATTGATGTTGCAAAACAACTCAGGCAAATGTACATATTTGCTTGTCAATTAATGCCTAAATTATGCTCGTAATTACAAAATTGTAAATTTTCATGTATTTATGAAGGGTGGAATGCCATTGTCATCGACCTTAACTTTCTTCATAAATTTTGTTCTGGTAATCATCTATTGTCTCTATTTCTATAGTAGTAGTTGCAGCTTTTTAATGAATAACAACTGGTTGTTTGTATAATTAGAGAATGACAAAATTCTGAGTCTCCCGTTTGTTTTATCATCCCAACACTGATTAGACACATTTAAGCCTACTGGTTTATAAGATAGGGTAATCATCTCATTCAACAAGACCTTATTGGGTGAGCAGTCAGACCCACCTCAAATTCTATCATCGTATCAGAGTTAGACCTAGTTGAACTGAGTGTTTGACCAGTGAGTAAGGAGTTAGAGCCAACAATTACCTCTATGAATAGGCATGACCCAACATATGGGCTTGACCGTGAGGGGGAGTTAGAATCCCACATCGACTAAGTACGCTCAAGCCTATTAGTTTATAAGAGAGGGTAATTCTCTCATTCAATAAGGCCTTATTTCGTGAGGAGTCAGGCGTACCTCAAATTTTGTAATGATATCAGAACTAGGCCCAGTTGAGCTGAGTGTTTGATCAACGGGTGAGAAGTTAGAGCTAGCAACTACCTCCATCAACAAGCATAACCCAACATATGGGCTTGATCGTGAGGGAGAGTGTTAGAGTCCCACACTGACTAGGCACGCTCAAGCCTACTGGTTATAAAAAAGGGGTAATCCTCCCATTCAATAAGACCTTATTAGGTGAGGACTCAGACCCACCTCAAACTACTTCAAACTCTATCATGATATTAGAGCTAGGTCTAGTTAAGCTGAGTGTTTTGTCAAATCTAGACCATCTATTCACCATTTTCGTAAGAGTAAACAACATATTACCGCCCGAGGTTTAGCGGAATCCTATGTTGATACCTTTGGTTGCAAACAAAAGAACTTAATAATACAACTAAAACTGAAAATGAAAGGTGGTTTTAGACTTGGGCATTTGGGACCGGTCTCAAAAAATTGGTCCAAATCATCAGTCCTAGGAGGCCTCGTCCCAAACCCAGACTAGGCCCATAGAGGAGGGACCAGTCCCTAGATTGGGCTCTCCTCTTGGGCCCAGGCCCAAACCCCTTTGCATTTTTTCAAAAAAAAGTCCCTTGAAAAATTTTCAAAAACCCCTTGTAAATTTAAATTGACAAAATATTGAAGGTTAAATTGATATTTACAAAATTTACTAATCTCCTGGGGGTGGAAAAAACTTTCCAGGCCCCTAAATATTACATGAACCCCCTACATAATTTTGTTTGGCCTTTTAAATATAGAAAAAGTTAAGGGGTGAAAAATGTTTTCCAAGCCCATAGGACCGGTCCTATGGGCTCAAGACTAGTCCGAGTCTTGAACTTTCTTATGGGCCTAGGACCGGTCGTAGGCCCATGAGTGACTAGTCTCAATCGGACCCAAACTCAGACTCAGACTCGGTTGGGCTGGATTTTAAACTTAAACTTGAAGAAAAGGAAACCTTAGGCTCTGTTTGGTTTATTATTCTGATAGTTTTTAGAATAATCTTTTGAAAAAAGTTAAATTGGACGGGTATTACGATGTAGGATTTGAAAATTAACAAAAATATCCCTTATGTTTGTTTATTTACTAAACACCCCTATAATAAAATATTAAAAGTTAACAAAAACACCACAACCCACCCATTAAATACGGACAGCCAGCCACCACCACCGAAGGGTGGCCGGATTATTTTTACAATTTCTAAAAAAAATATTTGGGAGTGTTTAGTTAAATTAACAAATATAGGAAGTTTAAAAGAAATTGAAAAATATAAAATAATATTTTAAGAATAATGACATTTTACTGTTTAACTTTTTTGAGAATACTAATAATAGTGGCTCCGTTTGGTTAAAGTTTGGGAATACTACTTTTTGTATTCCCAATAAAGTTAAACAGTAAAATTGCAAAAACTCACAATATCATTCAACTTTTTTAAACCCCTTAAATTTGTTAATTTAATTAAATACCTCTAAATATTTTTTTTTAAATTGCAAAAACACCCCAGCAATCCACATTTACTAGATTCCGACCACCACTGCCGAAAGATGGCCGGAATCTGATAGGATGACACACTACCGGCTGAATCTGGCCAGTAGTGGACCGATCCATAGATCTAGCTGGAAAAGGTCAAATCTAAGGCTAAAGATCTGGCCGTTAACCAGTCGGTAACAACGACCAACAAACGGTCGTCGTTGACCATCAATGACGACCGTTTGTTGGCCGTCGTTGACAAGTAAATACGGCCAGATCTGGCTGTCAATGGCCAGATCTAGCCGTAGATCTGGCCGAAAAAGGTTATATCGGCACACGACTGGCAAGATCCAGCCGATCATGAGCCGATATGGCGACTCCGGCCACCCTCCGGTAGTGGTGGCCAGCTGTCCATATTTGAGGGTGGGTTAAAGGTGTTTTTATTAACTTTTAATGTTTTATTATAAGGGTGTTTTGTAAATAAACAAACATAAGAGGTATTTTATTAATTTGAAAATCCTACATCCACTTAATTCAACTTTTTTTTAACTTTTTAACTTGCCGTTAATGTTACGTGTCCTTTTTTGACTCCTCTCGTGCTACAATATCTTGAGCCCACCAAAATGAGTGGTTCTTTTTTTTTTATGGTGTGTTTTGTCATTTTTTCAAACAGATAAATTTTGTATCCCCAGTTATCATATATACCCGAGCTCCTTGAGGCTCGTGAGTTTGGCGAGCTGAGTATGAAGGAGCTCGAACTCGACTCGCCAACTAAGTCAAGCCGAGTCTTTCCGGAGCCGAGCCTTAGTTGCTCACGTTATTTTGACAGCTAGACCCCACTAACACAAGGCTGTTCAAATAAGAACCAGATGAATCTGGTCAAAGCAAAGGAAGCTTCCTGATCTTGGTTGTGGAAATTTCAGATTCCTAGTGGGTCAACTTTTCTCGTCAGTAAATGAACTGATGCATCTAAATTAAACGAATTGATCAAGATAGTTGAGGAAGAAGATCAGAAGACTCTCTCAAACTCAAGCCTTGCGGGCGTTGTTCTTTATCTTGCCTGATACATGAATATTTCATCAATCACGCAGGTAAATTACATATCCAGCTTTTCATTTTTTGTTTTCTGTGTCCATCCGCTAATGGATTTAGTTTTCTTAATTGTTAATGATAATTTTAATTTATGCATTTTTAGGTTAGATGATGAGTTGGTTTTTGAAAGAAAGCAAACAGCAGAAAGAGGAAAGATTTCTGTTGAATGGTAAAACTTTATTGAAAGAGTTGATTGCGTCTTCTAATGGTAAGTATAATCAATATCGTAGCTTCACTGATAAAGAGATCAAGATAGCAACAAACAACTATGATCAACAGAATATTATATTAACACAAGGTTGGTATTCATTGTATAGCGGTTTTCTACAAGATCGACTGGTTTCTGTTTTGAATTTTTCAGATGAGTATACCGAAAATAGTATTAATAGCATCGTATTTGCATCGCAAATGAGACACAAATTTTTTTTGAAGTTGATTGGATGTTGTTTAGAGACTGAAGCTCCCATTCTAGTTTTTGAACATGTGGAGAATGGGACTCTTGCTGATCGTATTTATCGTTCAAGTGAACCGCATTTCGAGCCTTTGTTATTGACACATAGGTTAAAGATTGCTATGGAGATAGCTAATGCAATTGCGTATCTCCATTTTGGGTTCTCTCGACCCATTATTTTTAGATCAATCAAGCCAAACAATATTGTGTTCACTGAACAATATGTTGCCAAATTGTTTGATTTTTCAAACTCCATCGCTATTCCAGAAGGTGAAACTCACGTAGAAGATAGTTCAATGGTAGGAACATATGGATTTATGGCACCTGAGTACGCTATCACACGAAAATGCAATGAAAAGGTGGATGTCTATAGCTTTGGTAGAATTCTACTCGTGGTTTTGACTGGTCTCAAATCACATCAGCTTTCCAGTTGGCCTGCAGAAATTCATTTTGATGGGCCTTTGGAGCGTGATGATTCTCCCAGTTCGACTGCTGAAACTCATTCTGATGGGCCTTTGGAGGGTGATGATTCTCCCATTAGGCCCACTGAATATTGTTTTGATGGGCCTTTGGAGCGTGTTGTGAAAAAATACATTGAGCAAGAGAGTTTTACTGAGGTAGTTGATCCCATAGTTGTTGGTTCTGGACTATCTCCCAAAAAAGAAGAGCAATTGCAAGCATTTGCAGAGCTTGCCTTTAAATGTCTCTCTCCTTCAGGCGAAGACAGGCCAACAATGATTGATGTAGCAAAACAACTTAGGCACATTTATAAATCTACTTGTCAATTAATGTCTTAATTTATGTACTCATTATTACAAATATGTAAATTTTCATGCATTTATGAAGATTGAGAATGCTCTTGCAATAGACCTTTCACATATATATTGTTATTGATAATTATATTGTCTCTATTTCTATACAAGAAGTGTAAACTTTCCAAAGAAAGCTAAGCGTCTTTATAATTACAGAAGGACAAAATCATGATTTTTGACAAAACATAAGAGGCTTAACTTAACATTCCAATCTGTTGTCAAGATATTGTGATTTTTCTTTCGCCCACTATTTGAGGTGAGTTCGAGTCGGCCTATTATTTGAGATAGGCAAGAGATAAATCTATAATATTATTATAGCGTGCCGAGATCTCTGTTTTAAAAATTAGATCGGATCGACCGATTAGTCCGGTCAGACCGGGACCCGACAGCTTCTCCAGTCCGGTTCAGGTCATAGGGGGGTTTTGTAATATTTCAAAATTATGAGGGTTAATTGTAATTTTATAGGGGTGTTTTGAAGATATGTCAAAAGTTTCGGGATAATTAGTAATTTTTTGGGGTATTTTTGAAATAAATAAAAATTTTAAGGACTAATTAACTTTTTAGGGGAATTTTTGTAATATATTAAAATTAAGGGATTAATATATAATTTTTTAAAAATAAAATTGTCGCTGACGTCAATGGTCCAACCGATTGACCCGTGACTCGTGCAGTAAAATGGGTTGTCCTCCGATCTGGGTTTTAAAACAATGGCCGGGATGTTATATACTTAAAAGGCCAGCTTATTGATCAAGCAGACTTAACTTTGTTTTCTAGATAATTATACTGTCAAATCTAGACCATCTATTCACCATTTTATAGTTAAGAAAGAATCCTACTTGCAAATAAAATATAAAAAATCTATTTTTAGATAATTATATATAATATCAAATCTAGACCATCTATTCACCACATGTGGGCCGAACGACTTGTGCATACCCAAGGTTTGTCATAACAACAAGTTGATACCCAAAAGGTTTTGAAACAACAAATAGGTACCTTCCGTCATGTTCGGTTAATGATTTCTGTTTATTAATAGTAAAAAGACTAAAATGCCCCTGGGAGGTTGAATTTTAGTTTTTTATAAATTTAAAAATTTCTAAAAAACCCCCTAGGTTTACAAATTTAACTAAATACCCCAATATATAAAATTTTTATAAAATAACAAAAACACCCCCGCCACCTGCAGTGCCAGATTCCGGCCACCACCGCCGGAATCTGCCGGAAAGTTGCGTTACGACACAGACCTGTCGGATCTGTGTCGTAACGTGCCGATATTTTCTTTTCCCGCCAGATCTGGCCGGAAAAAGCCAGATCTGGCCGTCGAAGCAGCAACTAGATCTGGCCTTTTTCGGCCAGATCCGTGGCTGATCTGGCTTGAAAAGGCCATATCTACGGCCAGATCTAGCCGTCGACGCCGCAGATGGAGTTTTGCGGCGTCGACAGCCAGATCTAGCCGTAGATCTGGCCTTTTTCGGCCAGATTAGCCACGGATCTGGCCGGAAAAAGCCAGATCGCCGCGTTACGACACAGATCCGACGGGTCTGTGTCGTAATGCAGCTTTCCGGCCAGATTCCGGCGGTGGTGGCCGGAATCTGGCACTGCAGGTGGCGGGGGTGTTTTTGTTATTTTATAAAAATTTTATATATTGGGTTATTTAGTTAAATTTGTAAACCTAGGGGGTTTTTTAGAAATTTTTAAATTTATAAAAAACTAAAATTCAAACTTTTAAGGGTATTTTAGTCTTTTCACTATTAATAAACAGAAATCATTAACAGAACAGGATGGAAGGTATCTATTTATCGTTTTAAAACCTTTTAGGTACCAATTTATCGTTACGATAAACCTTGCGTATGTGTAAGCCGTTCTCCCCCACATGTGGCATAAAGTCTAGAGACCGAAATTGCGCAGAACTAATGCTTCATCATTGTAAGCTCCTGCCACAAAATAATTCCCTGATAAATGTTTACATCCAGTGGAAATAAATATTTTTTAATTTGTTTTTATTATTTTTGTTGTCGCTTCTTGTTAGCTAGAATCTTCTTCCTCCGCATAAGTCGCCTCCTTATTTGACTTCTTACTTGTTAGTTATGTCTTTAATATATGATCATAGTTACATATAAAGTTACGAATTTTAATGTTATGCAAATGAAGGGTGTGGCAATGCCATTGTAATAGACCTTTCCTTCATATAATTTGTTTTGGTATTCATATTGCTTGAAGGCAACCACATCTGCCTTAATTATTGATTAGACATATACTTAACTCTGTTGCTAGATAATTATATTATCATATCTAGATCATCTATTCACCATGTTATACTTTGATCTTGAGGGTAAAGGTGTTTATGTCCCCTAAATGATTGTTCTTTATATATATAGTTGTGTTCTCTCTCTCTCTCTCTCTCTCTCTCTTTCTTTGAGCTAGTTTTTGGGTTTGAATTCTACCTACTCTGATGTTATATATGAGCTAGCTTTTGGGTTTGAATTCTATCAAACCCCATGTTATATATGAGCTTGAGTTCTACCAAGCTTCTACCAAGCCCAATGTTATATATGACAGATTCCCACATGCTTGGAGTTTATAGAAAATATTCTTTTGTTGATGAGATTTATATATAAATTTTGTTTAATCAAAGAAAAAGAATTCTTGATTTATACTATATACTTTTGTTAGGGCCAAAAATCGTCTTGGGCTTGACGAGGCCCAATAACGAAATAAACATGTCACGACCCCAAGCCTCAACCCAATCTCGATTGGGCCTACGCTTAAAATCAGCTTCCGACTTACCCACTCTATGAGTTGGGCTATCCTATAAGTTAAACTAAACTGGGTTTCAGCCCATTAGCCTGCAACAGTCTATAAATAGGAAATCAGAATCCAATTCTATTTCCTCTTCTACTAAGATTTCAAATCTTACTCAAATTATTAAACTTGATCTAATAAGGTCAAGAAATTATATCTCTTTCATGATAGGGATTATCTCCCAAAATAGGACTTAGTGTCCTACTAAGATTCCAACTCTTATTTAAACTATTAAACTTAATCTGATAAGGCTAAGAAATCATATCTCTTTCATGATAGGGATTATCTCCCAAAATAGGACTTAGTGTCCTACTAAGATTCCAACTCTTATTTAAACTATTAAACTTAATCTGATAAGGTTAAGAAATCATATCTCTTTCATGATAGAGATTATCTCCCAAAATAAGACTTAGTGTCCTACTAAGATTCCAACTCTTATTTAAACTATTAAACTTAATCTGATAAGGTTAAGGAATCATATCTCTTTTATGATAGGGATTATCTCCCAAAAGAGGACTCAATGTCCTACTAGGATTCCAACCCCTTGGGTTCATTATAAAAACAGAGGCTCGCCCTCTCATTAAGGGAGCTCCCACAGTCAATCTACACTACTCAAAACCATCTATTTGCTCCTAAGTTCTTGCTCCCAAGAATCCGACGCCTCCGCCGTAGTCCTAGCCTCAGACAAGACTCCTGGTAATTCTTCTTCTCCTTAATTCTTATTAAATCTCTTTCAGCTTTGCTGACTTGAGCGTCGGAGTGCCTACGGCAAACACCACCTCGGTGTTTTCCGGAAGCTTCACGCTTGCCCTTTCATGTGTGCAGGTCTAATGGATTGTCAGTGACCTCAACCTCACGGGATCACACCCTATTTTCATGACGGTAGATTTTTTGCATCTACAACTTTTATGTTATATGTGAGCTACAGCAAGATCGTTAGGTGGATCACTTACTTTTTATGACTGGCATGTTACGATGTTACTAGAAGAATCAAAATTTTCTATCATTTACATTAATTTTTTGTTGCAGATTTTTGGCGATTTGGGCCTTTGAAACAGGAAATATAAGTAATTTGAATAAATCCACAAACTCTTAAAGAGAGATGAGATGAAGAGAAAAACTATATTATATTGCTTTAACTTGAATACAATGCTTGGAATCAATTAAACCTAATACTAGCTAGCTTTATATAAAATTTTACAAGTAGATATTATTAAGGAATATGGTGTAATAAGACTAGATCCGTACATATCTATTGAGATGAATGATTAGGATTAAGTGTACAAGCAATAAAACTCTAAACCTATTCGGTTAATACTTAGAAAGCTTCTACATATTCTTTTGATACTTGTAGAGTTGTAGGTCAAGTTTGGCTAAGGTCTTTTGAGATGTATATTAGAACTCACGTGGACTTGGGCATGAGTCTGCCGTGACACTAGGTAGGTATTGTGGCCTCTGATGGGTTTTGAATTTTGATGCTATTTATTAGGGGTGTTCAGTTCTAGGTATCCTGCACTTTTGAAAGAACCGAAACTGACGGTTCCTTGAAATTTGGAACCAGAACTGGAACCGACGGTTTCGGTTCCTAGATACCCAGAACCAGAACCTATAGCAATGGTTTCGGTTCCGGTTCCGGTTTCGGTTCTGTGTACCTTGTAAACTTAATATCACCCCCCAAAAGTTTTTAAAATGGTAAAAAAACTCTTAAAAACTTACAAATACCCTCCCACCTTACACTTGTTCACAAAAATAAAATTACAAATTATAAATTCAAAATTACAAACTTTATTACTTTGTACAGGTAGATTCTCAAAAGTCAAACCAACTTACTTTAAATGTTATGAAATATAAATATAAATGTATTCACATTACTTTTTTTACAAAAGTTTTTACTAACCCCCCTAATCTTTAATTTTATTTTATATTAGTCTCGATTCCTGGTTCTTGGTTCTGGTTCCGGTTCGTAATTATAAGAATCGGAATTAGAACTGCACAGTAACGGTTCCAAAAATTTGGAACCGGAACCTACCTATTGACGATTGGTTCGGGGTAGGAACCGAAACCAAACCGAGGGTACCTACCGGTTTCGGTTCCAACCGGTTCTTTTGAACACCCCTACTATTTATATCACTCTATTACAGTATTATCCTTGGAGTGTTAAATCAAAAGTTGACAGCACATTAAAGTCACGGACAACTTTCCATTTCTTATAATTTGTTTCTTTCGATGAAGCTTAGTGGGACATTAACAAACTTTTCATTCCTTATAATTTGTTAATTGTTAATGATAATTTTAATTTATGCATTTTTACGTTAGATGATGTGTTCGTTTTTTAAAGGAAGCAAAAGGCAAAAACAGGAAACATTTCTGCTGAATGGTAAAATTTTATTGAAAGAGTTAATTGCGTCTTCTAAAAAATAAATGTAATCCAATTCGCAGCTTCACTGATAAAGAGATCAAGATAGCAACAAACAATTATGATCAACAGAATATTAAATATATAAAGGTTTTCTATAAGATCAACCAGTTTCTGTTATGAAAATTTTACCTAATTCTCATTTCCTAACTGAATATAGTATTAAATGTCGTTGTATTTGCATTGCAAATGAGTCACAAAAATATTTTGAAGTTGATTGGATGTTGTTTAGAGACTCAAGCTCCCATTATACCTTTTGAACATGTGGAGTACGAGACTCTAGCTGATCGTATTTATCGCTCATGTGAACCACATTTTGAGCCTTTGTTATTGACATATAGGTTAAAGATTGCTATAGAGATAGCTAATGCAATTGCATATCTCCATTCTGGGTTCCCTCGACCCATTGTTTTTAAACTGATCAATCAATCGACTATTGTATTCAATGAACAATATGTTGCCAAATTGTTTGATTTTTCAGTCTCCATGTCCATTCCAGAAGGTGAAACTCACGTAAAATATAAAGCCTCACGTAAGTTTGAATTTGTTGCACCTGAGTGTGGTTGGACAGGTAAATTCAATGAAAAGTTGGATGTCTATAGGTTTGGCACATTGCTGCTTGTGCTTTTGACTGGACGTAAAATGATTAATACTTTTGAAGATGAATACTATTTGGAGGGTCATGTGAAGAAATGCATCGAGCAGAACATACATCCCATAATTGTTGGTATTGAACTGTCTCCAGAAAAAGAACAGCTATTGCTTGCTTTTACTTAGCTTGCCTTAAATTGTCGCTCTGTTTCGGAAGAAGATAGGCCAACAATGATTGGTGTTGCAAAACAACTTAGGCAAATGTATAAATCTATTTGTTAATTACAAAATTGTGAATTTTCATGTATTTATGAAGGGTGGAATACCCTTGTAATCGATCTTCACTTTCTTCATAAATTTTGTTCTGATATTCATATATTGTTTTTATTTCTATAGAAGTACTTAACTCTATTGCTAGATAATTACATATACTGTCAAATCTATAGACCATCTATTCACCATTTTTATAATTAAGAAACAATACTGCTACCATGTATTTATCACATGTGGCTTAAAGTATAGAGACCCAAATTGTGTAGAACTAATGCTTCATCGTTGTAAGCTTCTACCACAAATTTTGTTTTTATTATTATTATTTTTTTTTAATTTTTTTTTTTTTTTTGGTGATCGGAGTGAATGAGTCATCTTGCACATATCTCGATTAATCCTCAAGGTCCATTGAATACCCTACAAGTTCAAATTCTTCTTCTTGCTTGTTCTCAGAAAGTTGTGTTCATTTCTTTTATCAATAGACATGAATCAGTCACCAACCACAACAAGATTCTCTTTCTTGGTGAAGAAGATGTTACATTTCCTAACTAATATAATGCTCCAATGGTCAACTACTCAACTATACGAATAAAAAAAAATTGTTCCCGAATTTCCTTAATTCTGTATATATTGTCACTTTCTCACATACACTATACTTTGGTTAAGAACAAGATTTGTCTTTCAGGTCCTGCCTCTGAGAGATTTCATGATCAAGTCAAGGAACCTGGGGGCTGGGAAAATAGATTTGAGATGATTAATTTGTTGTCTTGTTTCGAGATAGGAAAATGGAAAGATGTTAAGCTATGAGAGGACGGCCTACTGATGAACATAAGAGCTAGGCTCGAAAGTTGGAGGGCTTCTTGTATGATCATATCTCTAACCAATTCAACCAAGTAAAAATTATCTGAAATCACTTGAACCCTCTCTCTTACTTGACTTGCTCATGAAATCCCTCTGAGACAAGAATATATACTTATATAGCACAGATGCTGTGACATATATCCACATGCTTGGTATTTGTAGAGAATGTTCTTGGTTGATGAGATTTGTATTTAAACCATAATCTACTCAAAACAAAAGGAGTTATTGTCTTATTTTATTATGTTATACATGAGCTATAACAAGATCAGTAGGTGGATCACTTACTTTCTTGGCTGACTTGTTTCAAGTGAAATTCAATTTTGTCCCCATTTATAGTTTTTTTTTTTTTTTTGTTGCTTCACTGCTAAAGAGATCGAGATGGCAACAAACAACTATGATAAACAGAAAATTATAGTAGAAGAATCTGGCTATTCATTGTATAAAGGTTTTCTACAGGATCGACCATTTTCTATTTTGAAGTTTCAGCCTAGTTCCTTTTATCCCCACCAATGTGGTTTTAGTAGCACTGTATTTGCATCTCAAATGAGTCACAAAGTTATTTTGAAGTTGATTGGATGCTGTTTAGAAACTCAATTTCTGGTTCTAGTATTTGAATGTGTGAAGTATTTGACTCTTGTTAACTGAGTTTATGGTTCATGCCAAACCACAGTTCGAGCCTTTGTTATTGACAGATAGGTTAAAGATTACAATGGAGATAGCTAAGGCAATTGCATATCTCCATTGCTGGTTCCCTTGACCCATTGTTTTTAGATTGATCAAGCTATCTAATAATGTATTCCATGGACAATATGTTGCAAAATTGTTTGATTTTGAACGCTCCATGTCTATTCTAGAAGGTGAAACTGACATAACATATGAAGTGAGAGGAACATACGGATTTGTTGCACCTGAGTATGTTATGAAAAGTATATTCAATGAAAAGTTGGATGTTTATAGTTTTGGAACTTGAGCTTTTAATTGGACAAAAATTAATTGATCGATCATTCTCGTGAAGAAATACATTGAGCAGCTAGGATAGCGTTACTGAGTAAATCCCATAATTGTTGGTACCGAATTGTCTCTAGGAAAGGAACAACAATTGCAAGCTCTTATAGAACTTGCCTTAAAATGTCTCTCTAAATTTGCTCAAGAAAGGCCGACAATGATTGATGTAGCAAAACAACTCAGGAAAATGTAAATGAAGGGTGTGGCAATGCCTTTGTAATAGAATAGAGCTTTCCTTCATATAATTTGTTCTAGTGTTCATATTGCTTGAAGGCCACCCCATTTGGCTTAGTTATTGATTAAACATATATACTTAACTCTGTTTCTAGATAATTATATCTCCCTTGTTGGCTTGACTTGCTCATGAAATCCCCCAGAGGTAGAATGTTTATATAATTCTACAGCATATATATCTCCTTTGACAGATTCTCACATGCTTGGAATTTATAGAAAATGTTCTTTTGTTGGTGAGATTCGTATTGAAATTTTGTTTATTCTTGATTTGTATCTATATATTTTTATGTTATTATATGTGACCAACAGTAAGATCATTAGGTGGATCATTTACATTTGTCTTTTGTTGCTGATTTTTGGCCATATTACTGTTCCTGCATATACATAGTTGCCTCCTTTCTCGATTTCTTGCATATTAGGTGGATCAATTTCCTCTTATTTTTTTCTTCTTCGTAAGGTCGCTTAGCATTTAACTCTGTTAAGATTAGTTATATAAATGTAATTCTGCAGTAGAGTAATTCTACAGTAGATAGTAGAGTAATTCTGTAGTCCTATAGTAGAGTTAGTTGGAAGTCAGTTTACTGTTAAGATAAACTTTGGTTAGATGTTAACTAGAGTTAATTATGTTGAGTTACTATGTAAGTATAAAACACTGTACAACTCCAGAATTGATAAGTAATATACATGAAGATACATTCTCTTCAAAACACCTCTCTTGCAATTGTATTTTACTCTTCAACATGGTATCAGAGCAAGAATTTTTTTCTGCAAATTGATCAAAATTAGATCAATCAAACTCCTAATCTTCTTCTAATCTAGCTCGAAGGAGATCAGATTTTAGTGATTTCTTCAATTTCAACTCAAATCTTAGCAAGTTCCAGTTTACTCAATGATGGCAGAGGAATCAGTTGTGCCTACGGTAGACTCGAATTCGCCTCTCTATGTTCACCCCTCAGATACGCCTGGATCAGTTCTTGTATCTGAACAACTCATTGGAATGACAACTACGGTATCTGGAGTAGAGCGATGATCGTTTCCTTATGTGCCAAGAACAAGCTAGGGTTTGTTAATGGAGTTTGTACGAAGTCATCTGTGCATCTTAATTTGGTTCCACAGTGGGAAAGGTGCAACTCTCTAGTTCTAGCTTTGGATTTTTAATTCAGTTTCTAAGGAGATCTTTAACGGGATTATATATTCATCCAATGCCTCTCAAGTTTGGCAAGACTTGAAAGAGCAGTATCACAAAGTCAATGGGACTAGAGTTTATGGAATTCACAGAGAAATTATGAATCTTACGCAAGGAACTAACTCTGTCACAATCTATTTCAACAAACTCAAGTCATTGTGGGATGAGTTGAATTCTTTCATTAGTCTACCCACTCCAGATAGCACTTCAGCTAAGGCATATCTTGAGCATCTCAACCAACAGAAATTGTTACAATTCCTAATGGGTTTGAATGATTCATACTATATGGTTAGGAGTCAGATTTTATTGATGAACCCTTTGCCAAGTGTTAAGCAAGCTTATTTTGTAGTTAACCAAGATGAAAGTCAAAGGGCTTTAGCTGGATTGAACACTAATTTGGAGGTTACTACAACACTTTATGCTCAAAATAATAGGAAGAACCAGAATAAAAGGCAGAAATATAAAGGAAAGAAACCCTATATTGAGTGCGAGTTGTTAGTGTATATTAGTGTATGCCCTAGAAACCATTCGTGTTGTCGGTTTCAGAGCATTTTGTCTTGTATCTATATATATCATAAATAATAGAAGAAACAGTTCTTCAATTCATATATGTAAATTGCTTCCTTTATTCAGTCATGCATTTAAAATAAAGTATGTATGTGAATTGTCCAGATGATTCATTTAATAGGTAAATGAATTATCGAAAAGGGTTCCCTACGGAAGCAATATAAATTTGGGCAACTATATTGCACAGTAGGCATACCGGATGCTTCCGAAAGATATCATGAGTTGATATAAGTACGGATGACGATGATAGTCATGTCACTAGGGCATTGGTATGGATTAACGGTTGGTGAACTGTTTTTCGAACGTGACCGAATAACGACAAATCACTTGGAAAAGCATGTAGTCAATGATTTATCGTTTGGTTATATCAGTGCACGATGTAGTCCTTTGACCTGAGACATTGTAGTCGGATCCGATATGGATGCGTATGGTTCATACGGTGTATAAGTACGAGACTAATCATGTTTCGTACAATAAAGCCTATTTGGTCATGCGTTGTTCATATGCGGAAACGAACGATGGTCAAGAGGGGATCCATTGACTCGGAAATATAGGATCGGGAGTACCGCTGACTCCATCCGGATTCGAGTTCCTAGACGAACATCGATAAATGTCAGAAAACTGAATCTCTGGCCAGAGTCTATTATTAGTCATACAAAAGTAAGTTTGTGATGACAAGTTCCGGACATATTGATCGACAATTCGGTAGAAGATCGAGTTTAGGATTTTGACGTTCCATGAATCCATACTCGATTAGGATATCTCAATGGAGGGACTTTACCTGCATGGTACGTATGATCTGAAATGGGTTCGATGAAGTATTTCTTCATCGTGGTTTAGGGACTATGGCACATTGCTAGATGTTTACCATAGTCGTTGGGCCTCCGGACAGGTTTCCGGATTCATCCAGAACCGGCTCACGGCTAATCCACGGTGGACCTACATGGTCACACCAATAGCCTTGGGAAGTTAGAGAATGATGAGAGAGAGAAATGATTATCCGAAGAGGGCTAGCACCTTCCGAGGGTAATAACGGGATTTCTATAGTAATAGTTACATAGAA